GGGGCGGGGTTGGGGTTAGAGGATGGATTGTGACTCCCGTAAGGGTGGGGGCGGGGTTTGGGTTAGAGGATAATTGGGACCTCCCGTAAGGGTAGGGCGGGGTTTGGGTTAGAGGATAATTGGGACCTCCCGTAAGGGTGGGGGCGGGGTTGGAGTGTGCATCCCGATTGATAAATAATTCAATGTAAATTGTGTATAGTTACTAAAGTTTATTTATTTTGATTGGGACTTGTAAATTCTAGACCAAATAATCGATTACAAAAATAATTTGTCATGTGTACTGACAAGAAACAGGGGGAAATGTTTGAGTACGGTAGGCATGACTAGATAAATATAATTACATATCTAAATTTCAAAAAGAGACAGCCCTAATCAAATTGTCCAAAGAATATCTAGATACATCTACAATATATACTACTTTTTTATAATAATGTAAAGGGTCGCTGGCTGGTGTGTGACAACGCCCTCCTACATTGAGCAGATGATAAAGATTAGATAGAGTCATCAGCATTCTCATGCTAGGTGTCCAATGTCTGTAACAGAAAATTGAGGTCAATCTCTTGTATGTGAAGTCCCAATGGTTTATTTTACCAGGTCAGAGAAAAGTCAAACCTGATTCTGGTCAGGGGTAACCTCATAGTATTAAAATCTAGTGACACTTCTCATATCAAAATCTGAAGAACTATTTTCTATCTACTGAAAAATCACCACAACACTCTAACGCTAAAACCGCGGTATTTCAATAAAATACGTAGAAATGATAGGAAGTGGTAGGTACGGTACAACCCGTATTTCAGCGAACTATTCAAATGTTTTAATCAAACTTCGAACATGTCACTTTACTTACAACGACCTTGCCACATCGGAGTGCTGTTATTTATTCACGAAGAGTAATCATTATCAATCAATTTTTTTTAAAAATTTTTTTGTAGTAGTTCCTGCTGAAAATATTTCTATTACGACGGGCATTTGATACTTATCTGATACTTTTTATGCTCTCAAAACCAAGTACATTTGTATAATAGACAGTGCACAGTAACTATAATTATTGTGTTTATATCATTGCGGCGGCGGTGGCTATACCATATTACTGTCTAAACTCCAAGATTTCCAAGATGAGTTTGACAAATCGACTCTAAGATTACCTTGATTATGACCGAGAGTATTCCGAACAACATGATGGAACACTGGAAGACGTCCGTCCAGATCACCGCCTTGATCCCTCCCTGTCATAAATAAAGGTTTATCATAATACGTGTTATTTTCACAGGAATCGTAAATGCATATACAGGAGCTTGTATGGCACTGATAATTAATTATGAGATTATAGGAACAATACGAATTACCAAGCTTTATGCCAAAAATAGGAACTCGCTTAACTCGAATACACGGATAACTCGAAGTTTCCCAACGATCCGGTCGACTTCGAGATACCGAGGTTCGACTGTATATAGATAGGCTCGGATATATGATCACTAGGGGTGTCATTTTTACCGAAGCTCGATCTTAACCCATAAAACATCTAAAACTACTCTGAACACCTTAGTTTACGTCCAAATATAGCTGTTACAAATCCTCAGGTCCCTGTGAACAGAGTCAGTATGAACACTAGATCTATAACTATAATATACTTACGATGGACGTGTACAGTACGGCAGCAACCGATACAGCCAACATGGAGGCCCAACTGGGGATACGGGTCACTGTTTAAAAATGAAACATGCCTTTGTTTAAAAATAACGTACTAGAAAAGAATCATACAGATTTAGAAAAAGCTCTCTATTCTATGAATTAATAAAAATTGAGCTTGAATAGGGGTTCATCTTTTTACTAAATATTTAGCAAATCATAACTTTATGAAAGCCTATCATATTCTTGTCGGAAAGAAAGCGGTACTTGAAAATGTTGGTCTTTGACTATGTATTACACGTGGCCAAAATATATCTTAAAACAAGTCGATATCTCACATCATTAAATTATATAACATTGGACAGAAAGTTACTTGTTTTTTACATTTGATAAATCTATATTCGCCGTGGAAATTTAAGACCTTGTCTCGGGGAATCAGAAAGTTGGTATATTACTCAAACTCATACTTTATCTTTCTTTATTAAACACCAATACAAAAAAAAAATCGAACATTTTCTGGAGGAAACAAAAAACAATATTGAAAGATTACAAAGGCAAATTCCGGAAATCTATACAGAGCCACATCTACGTGACGAAGTATGAAAATTGACAAGGGAGTTAGTGTGTGAAGGGGTGTTTTAGTTTTCAGTATAACGCACGACAGATAGAGGACTTAATCCCGGGGATATAGTCAATTGAACGAATCACTTATATAAATAGTATTAAAGGTCATACTATACCCGGTTACAAAAGATCTACTTTTTCCTTGAACGATTAAATAAAAAAAAAATCGCTAAAATATAACTTAAAAATTCCACTAGTTACGGCAACGTTGACGGACCACCGTGGGGAATGCAGACACTTACCACCTGCCATGGCAACCGCCTGTCCCATAACCACAACGCCAATGTATATTCCCTGTAAAGAAGCCAATCTAAGGTCACTATGGAAGAAACCGACAGTTGTAATTCGTTATTCTTTTTTCAATTTTCCTATGTGACTTGCTTTTATATAAATTAAACAGGGACCATTGTCTAATTTGGCCATCATGTCATTGCTACACGTTGATGTATTATTCTTCATCTACATCTGTATATTAAACAGTGTATCTGATTGGGTTACATTGATCACATGATTTTAGAATGAAATGTGTTTATCTATCTCCCTTGTGGTAGGGAAACTTTCACCGTGGCGAAAAGGACTAATCTCTGAGAAACCTAGATGCACAAGGACAATACAGATAGAATATACGATACCAGTTGATATTTAAGTTATTCTGTCTAAGTATCTATATATGTTATCTAAGAGAGCATACAAACATAGATCCTCCAGTCCCCTACAGGTCGGGGAAAGTATAGACCTGCTGTATCCCGCTGCTTGTCGTATGAGGCGACTAATGTGGGGGGCCTGTAAAATCGGGGTGGGGTGGGGTGGGTGAGGTGGGGTGAGGTGAGGNGGGGGGGGGAGGGGGTCCTATTTCGTTTACTGTTAAGATGGTACTTAGGAGACCAAAGATCTGCTGCCCCTATTGCAACATTCGTGATCTGTAATGTTTCTTTCCTCATTTTTCGGTGCTGTCTCCCGAGATACCTGACTTTACATAACTTTAACTGGTCAAACCCACAAACAAAGCTTGCTTACGTTCAGAAGTATCATACACGTAGCTATAAATAGCCTCACGGCCTTGCCCTTGTACCGCAGCTGGTAATACTGACAAAAAAAACACATCAATAATTAGCATGATATGGTAGAGTGCACACATATAAAGTCACAATTTGACCCGTTAACACAACACTATAGACCTCGCCCTGCCCACACAGATTTGTTGCCCTTTTTCATGTATAAAACATGCTACCTGAACGCTTAATAACAAGTTTACGACTATTTTATATAAGTTGTTTTCACAATTTACATTAGTTCAGTAAAACAAAGGCAAGTTTAGCGCTGTCGGCAGTTTTCTTTAGTGTAAACGTCAGTGTTACTGTGTTGGACGGTTTCAGTACACCACCGTTACTGATAAAATATATACGGTAATTCTTCACAGAAAACAATTGTTTGGTATGTTGATTTTATTTTATTCTATTCGGAGTTAATTTGTGCACTCTATATATTAATGTTGGAGTTTTCTTCGTCTTCGTTGATCGGAGAGAGTTTCCACACGAGGAAAGTCTAGTTATGCTGCGGACAGCTTTGGGTCTTCTCTAACGGCCCTGATTCATATCTGGTACACAACCATTCTATTTTCGGAAGCGTATTCAAAAACAAGTAAAACTAAAAAAAATATGAATGGTTAAAAAAACTAAGTCTTCAAACGCCGTCTCACACAAACGATCTTTAAATAGCATCTACAAAGTCTCCCTCTTTACACTTATTAAGATTTACTTCTAAATGCTTGTGATGATCAGTAAATCTTAGACTTATCCGTCATTTATTTTCTTGTTCAAATGTTACCCACACACATTTATAGACCATCATTTACAGATAATCAAAAGATTATCACATTAATTACTAAGCAAAACATCAACTCTAACATAGATTCTACAAATTCCAAAAGGTTATGCGAGTCAAAAAAGTAAATTAAATTCAATATACAAAATTATATTATCCGTTTGTAACTCTATATCAGCTAATTATTTCGAAAACTTTTTTCAACTTAAGGCCATAATTTATGTGTTATACTAACCTATTTCAGTGCCAAAATTTATATGATCTTTTCAACGAACAAAACATTCTGGCCTTGCTTTAGTCCCAGTATATATTTTTTTGGATGTGGGACAATTCTTTGCAGCACCAGTGACGTAAACGCAGTTGTACGTACATACTTTCCTTAATCACCTTGACCAAATTAAAAAACAGGGATAACAAATGTGAAAAATAACAGAAATCTCTTTTTATGTTATACTTTCGTTTTTGTGACCTCTAGTCGGAACACCTCTGCTATTTTGAGTCATGTATATATATGTGCTCGATGAGTTCCGAGTGGTTAAACTAAAATACATGTGGTCTATGTGATGAACACTTACCTCGCTAACTGTGGTCAGCTTGAGGGGGTAAAGCATTGGGACAACAATCCTTGCACCGATCAGGTACGAAAGAAAAAACCCAAAGGACGAGAATAACATAACACCGCCATAGAGATAGGTCTCGGCGGGGATACCGAGCATCAAAATGGACGACTGGGTGGTGACCAGCATGGAGAGGATGAGAGGGAACGTCTGTATATTTCGGTTCCCCAAATGGTACTCCAGGCCGGTTTTCTGTCTCCCTCCGGCACATGCATGAAATATACCGATCCCTATTGAAATTGCAATAACACAGGCAAACAATACATAGTCCACAACTACGAACCCAGGAGAGTCTGATGGAGCAGACGACATGTTGCTTTAAGGCGCCGTGGATGTATGCGTCCAACACTACATGTAAACACTATGAATACGACCGAAACACGCTATGCTAGAGTCGGGCCTACATAATGTATGTAGAGTAGGGGTCCGTAACGGCTTAGTACTTTAAAGCTGTGTAGTCAGCTTTGCGACTGTCCGTAGAATGTGATTTAAGCACCTGATCACTCACAAATGCTACAATACATACTCTTAAAACACAGCTGTGATGTTAGTCCGCTAAAACTGACCATAATCGCAGGCTTAAAAATTCTGATTGGTCGCCTGTTTATGTTATTTGCGTACTTTATCCAACAGACATTCATAGACATCACCTGTAGCCGTCCAATAAGTTACCTGTAGCTGTCCAATAAGTACACAAAAGAATACACATACTGGACAGCTAAAGGTAAGCTTTTGAATGAGCACATAATTACGCTATACAATGGAAAACATATAGTAATAGAATAAATGTGAAAATAAATATTTATTAAATGTAACACAGAATTTAAATATCAACATTCTTAAAGTATATTCCCATAGTCAGATTTCCCATACACTATATCACGGAACAGTCTTTTTACATGAAACATCCATATAGATGCATACACATCCAAACACTTTACCGAGAGACATATTTCCAGCATTAATTGTTATTTCCTTTGAATTCGTGATTTTGGCAATCAGTTGAAACCTTGCGTTTTCCCCACAATTTATGTTCACAAAATTACTTTCGTATCATCCCTTGAGATAATTGTGTATAATTCCAGATATATAGCTGTGATATATCTTTGATGAAAATAGTTTGGAGGTGGTGTTGAAATCTTGGATTTTCTCTCTTTAATTGTGTGGTTTAATTATTTCATTTCATTCTCTCACAGATATAATCCCAGAAATATACTGTAATCACTTTCATCAATAAATCAATCGTCTATGATGATACGAAAGAAATTGTGTGCACCTGTCTACCTTTAAGTTAGTTAACATGTCTACCTTTAGGTTTAGTCAACATATTTACCTTTAGGTTGGTTAATATGTCTACCTTTAGATTGGTTAACATGTCTACCTTTAGGTTTAGTCAACATATTTACCTTTAGGTTTAGTCAACATATCTACCTTTAGGTTAGTTAACATGTCTACCTTTAGGTTTAGTCAACATATTTACCTTTAGGTTTAGTCAACATATCTACCTTTAGGTTGGTTAACATGTCTACCTTTAGGTTAGTTAACATGTCTACCTTTAGGTTAGTTAACATATCTACCTTTAGGTTGGTTATCATGTCTACCTGTACGTTGGTTATCATATCTACCTTTAGGTTGGTTAACATGTCTACCTTTAGGTTGGTTAACATGTCTACCTTTAGGTTTAGTCAGCATATTTACCTGTAGGTTTAGTTAACATGTCTACCTTTAGGTTGGTTAACATGTCTACCTTTAGGTTTAGTCAACATATTTACCTTTAGGTTTAGTCAATATATCTACCTTTAGGTTGGTTAACATGTCTACCTTTAGGTTAGTTAACATGTCTACCTTTAGGTTAGTTAACATATCTACCTTTAGGTTGGTTAACATGTCTACCTGTACGTTGGTTATCATATCTACCTTAAGGTTGGTTAACATATCCACCTTTAGGTTGGTTAACATGTCTACCTTTAGGTTGATTAACATGTCTACCTTTAGGTTGGTTAACATATTTACCTTTAGGTTAGTTAATATGTCTACCTTTAGGTTGGTTAACATATCTACCTTTAGGTTGATTAACATGTCTACCTTTAGGTTAGTTAACATATCTACCTTTAGGTTGGTTTACATGTCTACCTTTAGGTTGGTTAATATGTCTACCTGTAGGTTGGTTAACATGTCTACATTTAGGCTGGTTAACATGTCTACCTTTAGGTTGGTTAACATATTTACCTTTAGGTTAGTTAATATGTCTACCTTTAGGTTTGTTAACATATCTACCTTTAGGTTGGTTTACATTTCTACCTTTAGGTTGGTTAACATGTCAACCTTTAGGTTAGTTTACATGTCTACCTTTATGTTTGTTAACATATCTACCTTTAGGTTGATTAACATGTCTACCTTTAGGTTAGTTAACATATCTACCTTTAGGTTGGTTTACATTTCTACCTTTAGGTTGGTTAACATGTCAACCTTTAGGATAGTTTACATGTCTACCTTTAGGTTGGTTAACATATCTACCTTTAGGTTGATTAACATGTCTACCTTTAGGTTAGTTAACATATCTACCTTTAGGTTGGTTTACATTTCTACCTTTAGGTTGGTTAACATATCTTCCTTTAGGTTGATTAACATGTTTACCTTTAGGTTAGTTAACATGTTTTCCTTTAGGTTGGTTAACATTTCTACCTTTAGGTTGGTTAACATGTCAACCTTTAGGTTAGTTTACATGTCTACCTTTAGTTTGATTAACATGTCTACCTTTAGGTTAGTTAACATGTTTACCTTTAGGTTAGTTTACATGTCTACCTTTAGTTTGATTAACATGTCTACCTTTAGGTTAGTTAACATGTTTACCTTTAGGTTAGTTTACATGTCTACCTTTATGTTTGTTAACATATCTACCTTTAGGTTGGTTTACATGTCTACCTTCAGGTTGGTTAACATATCTACCTTTAGGTTGGTTTACATTTCTACCTTTAGGTTGGTTAACATATCTACCCTTAGGTTGATTAACATGTCTACCTTTAGGTTAGTTAACATATCTACCTTTAGGTTGGTTAACATGTCTACCGTTAGGTTGATTAACATGTCTACCTTTAGGTTAGTTAACATATCTACCTTTAGGTTGGTTTACATGTCTACCTTTAGGTTAGTTTACATGTCTACCTTTAGGTTAGTTAACATGTCTACCTTTAGGTTAGTTTACATGTCTACCTTTAGTTTTGTTAACATATCTACCTTTAGGTTAGTTTACATGTCTACCTTTATGTTTGTTAACATATCTACCTTAAGGTTGGTTTACATGTCTACCTTAACGTTGGTTAACATGTCAACTTTAGGTTGGTTAACATATCTACCTTTAGTTTGTTTAACATGTCTACCTTTAGGCTGGTTAACATGTCTACCTTAAGGTTGGTTAACATGACTACCTTTAGTTTGGTTAACATGTCTGCCTTTAGTTTGGTTAACATGTCTGCCTTTAGTTTGGTTAACATGTCTACCTTTAGTTTGGTTAACATGTCTCCCTTTAGTTTGGTTAACATGTCTCCCTTTAGGCTGGTTAACATGTCTACCTTTAGGTTAGTTTACATGTCTACCTTTATGTTTGTTAACATATCTACCTTTAGGTTGGTTTACATGTCTACCTTAACGTTGGTTAACATGTCTACCTTTAGGTTGGTTAACATGTCTACCTTTAGGTTGGTTAACATGTCTGCCTTTAGTTTGGTTAACATGTCTACCTTTAGGCTGGTTAACATGTCTACCTTAAGGTTAGTTTAAATGTCTACCTTTAGTTTGATTAACATGTCTACCTTTAGGTTAGTTAACATGTCTACCTTTAGGTTAGTTTACATGTCTACCTTTAGGTTTGTTAACATATCTACCTTTAGGTTGGTTAACATGTCTACCTTAAGGTTGGTTAACATGTCTACCTACATGTTGGTAAAATATATTTCTTTATGTTGGCTAACACAGGCTTTCTACCATTCATTTAAAAAATCAATCCTTTTACTTGCTTTTAACGTAATAACCATTGATCCAGTTATTCATGTCAACAAGCCCATCTTGCATATAATATACATAATCATCGTCTTATAATGCATATTTCTACCTTATAGTAACAAATAATTTGTGATTTGAAAACCTCAAAACAAACATATAAGTCTTTGTAATCTACAATAATATACATAATGTTTAAAAAGTAACATCATCATATTGATGACGATATTATATTGGCCAGGTAATCCTAATAACACAGATAAAGGTGACAAAGAAACGTAACGGGTTTTACTCTGAATCTCCTTACTCTTGTAAGGTCATACTTGATGAGTGTGGATTATCCAATATATGGATATCACAAACATTTCCAAATATTTTGTGGTTAAAAAAAACTGTTGAACGAATTTTATTTTACCAATTTTTGCAAAATTGGGATTCTGACAAAAATGAATCCAGCAAAGAAATAAATTATAAATTATTTAAAGATGAACTAAAATTAGAAAATTATCTAAATATCCTGTCTACAAAAAATGCCATTATGTTCTGTAAATTTAGAACTGGCAATGTCAGACTTCCAATAGAAAGAGGAAGATGGTTAAATATAGAGAGAAGAAATAGAATATGCCATTTGTGTAATACTGAAGTTGGAGATGAATTTCATTATATGTTTAATTGTCCAAATTTTTCAAATGAAAGAAAGTTGTATATTCCAAATTACTATAGCAGGCAACCAAACTGTTTAAAATTCCAGCAACTTTTTTCAACAAATAACAAAGTTTTACTAGTTGAAATATGCAAATATATTAATATAGTAATAGAGAGAGTCCGTTCTCCTGGTTAAAACTGCACGTACTCTATCTTGAATGTACCCATTGTATATTTTCTTAATATCACATGTATATTGTGGTTGAAAAGAATAAAATCTTGTCTTGTCTTGTCTACAACAAATGAACAACGATTACATCGTAACAATACAAACAACGTTTAAAGATTGAAGATTAGTAATATTAAAATATATAAACATATTCTCATCGTCAGAAACCAACGTTCGATGGTACTAGCTTTTATAGATAAACGCTAGTACCATCGAACGTGTTTTTCCGATTATGACATGCTATTTCTAATTATCTAGCTTTCTAAAAAGAATTCCCAACCAAATATCTTAAATATTATGCAAGCTTGATATTTCTTATTTTGTTGAAACTTCTATTCAAGAGTAACTTACAATGGTTACTGTTCGCACTCTTTGATTTTTAAATAGCTCACAGGTTAATCAGATGTAAAGTTCATCTTCTGCTGCAGTAGGGAAGTTTTAATCATTCTTTTGAAAGCCTTA